TCCAGCTCCCGCACCGCCAGCAGCAGTCCCTCCAGCTCCAGGGCCTCCAGCGTCAGCACCTCCAGCTCCAGTAGCGCCAGCTCCAGCGCTAGCACCACCAGCTCCAGCACCTCCTGCTATAGCACCAGCGCCGCCAGCGGCAGCACGACTACGAAGACGGGTGCGCCGGGCAAACCACACGCGCAGCTGCTGTGGTGAGAGGGGCTCACGCTGAGAATACCGCTACGGCGAGGATCCCGGAAGACCCCCAGCAGAAGCAGCACCACCAGGCTCAGCACCCCCAGAAGCAGCACCCCCAGGCTCAGCACACACAGGCTCAGCACCCCCAGACTCCGCACACACAGGCTCAGCACCCCCAGGCTCCGCAACCCCAGGCTCCACACGCACAAGCTCAGCACCTCCAGTCTCCGCACGCACAGGCTCAGCACCCCCAGGCTCAGCACCCCCAGGCTCCGCACGCACAAGCTCAGCACCCCCAGTCTACGCACGCACAGGCTCAGCACTCCCAAGCTCCCCACACACAGGCTCAGCACCCCCAGACTCCGCACACTCAAGCTCAACACCCCCAGACGCAGCACCCCGAGCAGCACCACCCCCAGCAGCACCTGAGTCACCAGTGACCTCGACAGGCTCAGCCAAGGGAAGTGGGTCTACCTGAGAGACACCTGAAGGGGCAGGACCCTGAGGGGGGGGGGGTCTACCGGAGGGGGACCTGGAGCGAGGAAGAGCGGCGGGGGGGGGGAGCGGGGCAGTGCGGTAGACAAACGGAAAAGGGAACCGACTCGTCAACCGACTCGTCCTGAGAGGAGAAGACACAGCGCGAGGTGGGGTGGTAAAACTGCCAGCCAGACGCGTCAGGGGGAGAGCAAAGGAAGACGCAGGGAATGGCGCGAGAGGAGAGCTTGTCCGCGGTGGTATCGCGGACAAAGGCACGAGAGCCCCAGACCCGGAACCGCGACGCATCGCCAACCTCCCCCGTCCAACGCAGTGTGGGCGAGGTCTCCGGCAAGGAGACACGGGGCCAGAGGTTGAGCTGATGCGCAGCGTACCGGACAGCAAACGACCACAGAAAATGGGGAGCAGCCGCATGGATCATGGAGGTACGAGCGACCTCCATGATTAAGCCAATGCAGTGCTCAGCAACCCCATTATGCTGCGGAGAGGCCGGAAGTGTGAACGACTGGGTGATGCCGTGCTCCTCCTGACAAAAGTCCCGCAAGAGGTCGGAGGAGAACTCACCACCTCTGTCAGAGTGCAGACGCAGGACCGGAAGGTCCGTGCAGAACCGCTCGCGGAGCTGGAGACGCACAGCGCGGATCCAAGGGATCAAAACAGCAGGGACCTCACCCTTGCTGCGCAAGGGGAAGACCGTGATGTAACGCGAGTAGTCGTCAACAACCAGCAGAAAGTACCGCTCGCGGCCCTGTCCCTGGACGCGGGCTGGGCCCCACACGTCCATGTGGAGGGTCTGCAGGGGAGCAGTCGTCGAGGGAAACGAGGAGGAGTGAGGAGCGGCGCGCTGCCGCCCCTCGATGCAAGGAACGCAGAGCGGGGCAGGCGAGGGTGGGAGGGAAGGAAGAGACCTGGGAAGACCAGTGAAGAGGAGGCGGGAGTGCATGCCACGAAGGCGTGGCAGGGAGGGGTGACCAAGGCGGTGGTGCCAAAGGAGGGTCTGGTGCGACAGGTGACGACACTTACAGGGGGAAGCTACTTGACCCGACGCGGCCACCTGACCAGACGCAGCAACCTGAGGAGGCTCAGTAGTCAGTGTGTACAGACTCGACCCTGGCCGACGAGTGAACGTGGCCAGGTGACGGCCAGTCCGGGAGCACGTGCAGATCGCCACACGCTGTCATCAAGGGGTGAAGGTGTCAACCCCCGCATACTGAAGGAGAGCTGAGCTAACCAAGTTCGTCGAGAACGAGGGGAGGTGGAGACTTGACAGTGAGCCGGACGGAAAAGCCGGACACGGGAGCACAGTGGAGGAACATGGAAGCACCGGACCCCCAGAGGGGTCAGCCAGGGAGACCGCAACAAGTCTAGGGAGCGGTGTGAGCGCGGTACTGTCACGAAAGAAACAGCGTGAAGCACCTGAGTCAAGTGTGAAGGTGTGCAAGGCCTCAGCAGGTGCAGTACCAGAGAGAGCAGACTCACTAGCACCTAGAGCAGCAGCCTCTATACCTGGGCTGGGCGGCACACACAAGTAACAGTCACCCTCAGCACTAACAGACAATGCATACATGGCATAAAGGATAGCATCATAGTCAAGAGCAAAGATATCAACTCCAGACCTATGCAGCTCTGCCGAGCGGGGTATCTCAGCCTCCTTGCCGAACTCAGTGCGCCAAGCGTCGTCTAGGCGGGAGAAGCAGCGGTGCTGGGTGTGAAACTTCCCGCATGTCTGACCCGCACGGGCACCCGTGCGAATGACGTATGGACAGTGACCACTACCCCCAGACGCACTCACGAAGCTGCTGAGGCGTGAGCTGCTCACGCGGACGATGCTGTTGCTGCTGCTGGCGCTGACCTGGTCCAGCACGACCACCACCACTGCCGCCGCCACCTCCACCACTGCCTCCGCCGCCACTGCCGCCGCCACCGCTCCCACTGCCGCCCCGACCACCACCACCGCCACTCCCGCCGCTGCCGCAACCGCCGCCACCGCCCCCACTCCCACCACCACTCCCACCGCCACCACCGCCACCTCCACCGCCTCCACCGCCTCCACCACCACCTCTTCTGCCGCCACCTCCACCACCCTTGCCGCCCTTGCCCTTGCCGTTGCGACGCTTCGCATTAGGAGCAGAAGCGGCACCGACCTCCTCAGCACCAAGGAAGTCGACAGCAGCAGCAGTAGCAACAGAGGGGGCAAGAGGGGAGGGGGAGCACCCCTCAAAGAAGGGCGTGCGAGGAGTGCCACGAGTAGCACCTACAGCGACTGCACTAGTCTCAGCTGCAAGGAGTTGCTTCTCGAGCAGGTCGATGGCGAGCTTTGTGGGGTGAAGAGCAAGAATGTGGTCCCTAACTGCGCGAAGTGAGTCAGGGAGGCGAGTGACAATGAAGTAGAGAGTGATGTAAATTGGGGGCTCGTTCTTGGGGAGGAACTCGTCTGGGGTGGCAGCACGGTAGCGAGCGTCAACAAAGCGAAGGTGGGTAATGAGGTCCTCTACAGTGGCAAAGGAGGACAGCTCGGGAAACAGGTAGGGCAGCATAAGGCGGCCGAAGGCTGCTGTGGCAGGGGAGAAATAGCGAGCGACTACAGCGTCGAACAGCTCTTTAGCGGTCTTATACTGGCCAAAGTGAGCGCGTTCGGTCGTCGGTAGGGAAGCCATAGGGAGCAGTACAGAGCAGAGCGTAACGCAAGAATGAGGCGGCACGCAGCGAGCAGGGCGGCGCGCGGCAAGGAAGAGGCAGCGCGAGGGCTGCAGAGGCTGCGAGGGGCTGCAAGGGCGGTACGCAGGGCAGGGCAGAGGCAGCGCGAGGGCTGCAGAGGCCGGGCGCGGGCTGCAAGGGCGGCGCGCGGGGCAGGGCAAGGGCAGCGCGAGGGCTGCGGAGGCTGCGCGCAGGGCAGCAAGGGCGGCGCGCAGGCGGCTGGGGCTCGCGCGGGGCCGCAAACGGCAGCGCGCAGGCTGTAGGGGCCGCGCGCGGGGCAGTAGGAGCAGCGCGCGGGCTGCTGGGGCGGTGCGCAGGGCTGCAAAGGGCGGCGCGCACGCTGTTGGGGCTAGCGCGGGGCCGCAAACGGCATCGCGTGGGCTGCAGGGGCCGCGCGCAGGGCAGGAAAAGCAGCGCGCGGGCTGCTGGGGCGGCGTGCGAGGCTGCAAAGGGGCGCGCGCAGGCGGCGATGGCAGCGTGCGGGGCAGCGCACGGGCTGCAGAAAGGAGACGCGCGAGCTGCAAGGGCGGCGCGCGGGACTGCAAGGGCAGCGAACTAGATGCAGTGGCGGCGCGCGCGGACGGTACAGGGCAGGGCAGGGCGTGGGGTAGCGCGGTAACGGGTGGGCCCGAAAAAAAAAAAAAAACAAACAAAACAAGAGGCGACGAAATCGTCTTAGGGTTGCGAAGCAACATTACACTGTTAATTTTTTATACACCTGACGTATGATGAAGGTTTAATAATATAGTAACATAATTATGATATTTAACGAATTACTGTTATTTATATATACACTTGAAATATATAACATATGATTATATAAACGAATTTGTGTGGTCGTTTAGGGTATAGATTCTGATTGTTAAGAACTTTTTTTGTGTGTTATTTTATTCTTGTTCTGTTCATATTATTTGGTTTTAGGGTGACTGAAATTCTGAAACAACAAATTTTCAAAACAAAACGAAATTGGAATTTATAGTTTGCATCATGATTCGAACTCCAAACCTTGGCGATGAGGATACGATACCGTTGTGCTAAACATACTGGCACACTTTGGCATCGTATTGTACATGCCAGATGGTCGCGTGAAAACGTCCCTTCCTAGGGTTTCGTGAAATGTTTTTTCTCCATTTCTCGTCCAGCTACTCTAACTTCTCCCGTACCTTACGCTACTCTCGCCACTCAAACCAGTCACACTAAAGCTCATAGTCAGGTAAGCCTTTCTCTCTCTATTCTTAACCTAATTCTAGTTGAGGGTGGTTCTTTCTACCGTTTTCTTCCTCCATTACTTCCTCTTCTCCTTTCTCCTTAACATTCGATAGAGAACTTCCACTCGTTCCCATGCTTGTCTTTCTGCGTTTTCGAGTGCATCTCAATCATTAGCGCGGTCGTTATTGTCTTTCCTTTCGTTCGATGTTTAGGGTCGGAACAATCATTGAGAAACCTTAACAGATTTCTCTTGTTTTCGTCCGTGTATGTTTCTTTGCATAAGTTATGTCGTAGCAGTATGTCGTTTCCATTCATCGTGTATGTCGTTATTCAAAGGCTGCAACCCAATATGCTACGTCCTTCTGAATTGTTGTGTTCCAATTTGAATCCTTCATAGGTTCTTTCGAAACCGTAGTTTAATGAACTCTCTGTATATCTCTCGTTCGTTCTCTCGTTCATTCTCTCTTTCTCTCTCTCTCTCTCTCTCTCTCTCTCTCTCTCTCTCTCTCTCTCTCTCTCTCTCTCTCTCTCTCTCTCTCTCTCTCTCTCTCTCTCTCTCTCTCTCTTCATCTCTCTCGTTCTCTCTCTCGTTCTCTCTCTCTCTCTCTCTCTCTCTCTCTCTCTCTCTCTCTCTCTCTCTCTCTCTCTCTCTCTCTCTCTCTCTCTCTCTCTCTCTCTCTCTCCTCTCTCTCTTTCTCTCTCTCTCTCTCTCTCTCTCTCTCTCTCTCTCTCTCTCTCTCTCTCTCTCTCTCTCTCTCTCTCTCTCTCTCTCTCTCTCTCTCTCTCTCTCTCTCTAATGGTCCTTGTATTGATATAGGCGGCAAATACAAGCATGCAAGTCATAGAGTCATAAGTAACATACATGCAATGCACGAGCACCCCAGATCTACAACTCCACTAGAGGCTCAATGACTGCAAAGCAGTCCCCAAGGTGCAACTCGTCCCCAATTCCCCCCACAGGCAGATTCTCTACCGCCGCGGCCTCTCCAAGCTTGAGCAGGAGGCCTACAGATTGGGCCCTTTGCAGGGCCACCGACCAACGCTGCCTGAACTGGTGCAGGAATTTTGCAGCATAGAACGATTTGGAGTCGGCGTTGAAGTGGCGCCGTGCTGCAGTGTCCGCCAAGAGCTCCAGGAAGACTGGCACCTCTGCGCAGGGGCAGCCGTAGGTGTCCACCGCTAGTGGGAAGAACTGCACCGTCTCTGGCAGGGTGGCGTAGTGCTGGATCTTCTTGTCCGCTTGCTCCCGTGCCGCCCAGCCCCTGCCCTTCTGCGCCTTGGGATCCCTGGTGCTAATAGGGTCGGTAATGGTGACGTCGCATACGTATACGGCCCCACTGCTTCGGTCCGTCATTGTAAAATCGGCCGTCTGCTCTCTCTCTCTCTCTCGTCCTCTCTTCCTCTTGCTCTCGCTCTCGCTCTCCGTTGTTCTCGCTCTTGGTATTTGTTATATTATCTTCTTTCGTTTACTGTCTCGTTATTTTGTCCCTCTGTTCCCGTTCCTTATTTTCGTTTTATGCCTCGGTACGTTCTTCTTCTTGCTCTTTGTCAGGTCTAACCATTCAATGCTCACGACGTTTTTCTTTGTCCTTGTATTGTTTCATTCGTTTCTTCGTTAACCCTGTTTCTCTTCATTTCATCACACCTCATACCTTTTTCTGTTTTGTTGTTGTACCGGGTATTTCTTTCCGTTCCTCATTTCCACTTTCTAAACCCGTTTCTCAGGAGCCTTGCTGGTCAGGAAGACGATTTCAATCTTGAAAATGTGTATTGGTCAGTAGGATTTATCGTATTGTCCTTTTAACGTTGATTTGCTTGTTATTTAGTATCGCGTGTTTTTTGGCTGGGTTTGCCAGAGCTCGTGTATTTTATTGTGTAAATGTGTTTGTTTGTGTGAGTGCATTCATCTCATCTTTCATTGCAATATCAATGCATGTCTGTCAATTTTAAAAAGGGGGTTCATTTCTATCATTTCTCATTGGTTCATTGGCGCACTCAGTGACTCGTGTGTTTGCCACTTCGAACTGGATTTGATAGAGTGAACCTCTTTTTTAGAGTTAACAGATTGTATTGTTTCATGTGCTAGTTGATTATTCAAAGACTTTGCTATTGACTTCCCCCCCATGCTAGGCAGGGGATGCGGTAGCCTAGTTTTTGGGTCGTTAACTATCACGCATTTGTATGATATACTGGTGTGGTGCATTTCAGCATATCATATGCATACAAAAGCATTTTCATGCATGTATCGATATTAGGTATGCATCAATTTATCATGCCTCGTCATTACATTCATTTAAGCATGCGTGGCATGTAATTCATTACTAGTATTCATAACATTTATTACATGCAATTATCACAACAACATCAAACAGTAAAAGATATAATAAAAGCAGTATAGCATTTATGCACAAAACTACTACAAAGATAGCCAATATTCAAAACTGTTCAACATGCACAATGGGAAGGGTAGTACTGTAGCTGACGAAATTTATTTTCATGTTAATAAAAAACATGAAAAAAAAAACTGTCAAAATTGATCGTAAAGGGTTGCTTCGCAATTCAAAAAAATAAAAATAAAACAAAAAAAAGGTCCTACGGACCTACTGCTCTGAAACCATGTTGAGAATACTAGGCAAAAATGAATGAACTAGCAAGAGTTGGGATACAAATACAAACCGCAGAATGTGTTGTACCCCATGTAAGCTACCCCACTACAGCCTACAACCAACAACAAGCATTATAGTTTGACAGAGCAGAGTCTCTGACTTGTCGCTCTGTCAAGAAGTCAATAACGGGTAACCTACGCACCCTATAGGCGGCTCGATTCACTCCCTGTAATCTCGAAACTGCAAATTCGCACCTGTGTATGTGATTATGAGTCAAGCACCTTTGACACCCGCTGTTCGAACATTGCTATACCGTGATCTCCGGTTAGAAGATCAGGGGGTCTTATCCTAAATGCGCTTGAAATGGGTTGTGGGGTCCTATTTAATGGCATATTGTTTATAAGACCCCTGGACATCTAATAATTACAGAAATTAGAAATCTAAGGAAGAGTGTTGATTGAATTCAATTTTTGTTCCCAGCGAATTCGAGTTTGCCTGTAAGCGAGGAACCATATCGCCACTTTCGCGCACCTCGCCCGAGGCCACACGTCACATATTGAAGCATGACGGCGGCAACATCTGACGGTGCTGGCGCAGCGCTGTTAAACTGTAGTATGCTTGTAGGCTGTAGTGGGGTAGCCAATATGGGGTACAACCCCAACTAGGGTTTCATATTTGTACCCAAAACTTCTGCTAGTTCATCATTCTTGCCTAGTGATTCTGACATGGTATTCAGAGCAGGAGGTCCTTAGGACCTACCGATCGTTTTTTTAGGGCCCACCACCGCTCGCATGCGGTTACCACGCTACCCCGTTCCCTAGCCTCGTAGCGCCCTCGTGCGCCCTCGTTAGCGCCCTCGCGCGCACCCTCGTTAGCGCCCTCGCGCGCACTCACGTCAGCGCCCTCGCGCGCCCCTTCGTTAGCGCCCTCGCGCGCCCCTTTGCTAGCGCCCTCGCGCGCCCCTTGCTAGCGCCCTCGCGCGCCCCTCACTAGCGCCCTCGCGCGCCCCTCACTAGCGCCCTCGCGCGCCCCTCGCCGAGCCGCCCGCTCGCAGCCCGCCCGCCCGCTCGCTGCCCGCTTCGCGGCCCGCCCGCTTCGCAGCCCGCCCGCTCGCTGCCCGCTTCGCGGCCCGCCCGCTTCGCAGCCCGCCCGCCCGCTCGCTGCCCGCTTCGCGGCCCGCCCGCTTCGCAGCCCGCCCGCTCGCTGCCCGCTTCGCGGCCCGCCCGCTTCGCAGCCCGCTCGCTCGCTGCCCGCTTCGCGGCCCGCCACTTCGCAGCCCGCCCGCCCGCTCGCTGCCCGCTTCGCGGCCCGCCCGCCTCGCAGCCCGCTCGCCCCGCTGCCCGCTTCGCGGCCCGCCCACTTCGCAGCCCGCCCGCCCGCTCGCTGCCCACTTCGCGGCCCGCTCGACCCGCTGCCCGCTTCGCAGCCCGCCCGCCCGCCCGCTGCCCGCTTTGCGGCCCGCCCGCCTCGCAGCGTCGCCCGCCCACCGTGCTGCCCGCTTGCAGCGCCGCCTGCCCGCCGTGCTACCCGCTTCCCGGCCCGTCCGCCGCGCTGCCCGCTCGCAGCGTCGCCCTCCCGTCGCACTGACCGCTTGCAGCGCCACCTGCCCGTAGCGCCAGCCTCGCCCGCTGCTCTCTATCCGTGCACAGTCGTCTTCCCCTGCTGCGGCAGCTTGCGTTACTCTGTCACACTGTCGCTATGGCTTCCATTCGCGTGCTGTCGTTCGATGCTGAGGGCCGCCCTGTGCGTTTCACCGCTTGGCTAGATGACCTGCAGCTGTTTCTCCTGAGCGATAGCAAGGAGCATGTGTCGCTCTATGACTACGCGTCTGGTGCTGCGCCTGCCCCTCCTGCCACAGCTGAGCTTAGTGTTCGTTCCCACTGGCAGACTCGTGACGCAGCTGCTCGCCTAGCCATTCGCAGTCACCTGCCGTTAGCTGAGCTAGAGCATTTTGGCGACTGCAAATCCGCTAAGGCCCTGTACGACGCTGTCGTCGCTCGCTACTCCTCGCCTGCCACAGCCGAGCTTAGCCGCCTCATGCTGCCGTACCTGTTCCCCGATCTGTCCACCTTTACTACAGTCGCCGATCTTATCACCCACCTTCGCACTAGTGATGCTCGCCTGCGTGCCGCCCTTCCCACCGAGTTCTGCGCTAAGAACCCCCCTCCACTGTACTGGACACTCCACTTCATAGTCACCCGTCTCCCTGACACCCTCCGCTCAGTTCGAGACCACTTCCTTGCTCGCTGTCCCACTGAGCTCACAGTCGCCCTCCTAGAGGAGCACCTGCTCGCGGCCGAAAAGAGCATTGTGGCTGTCGGTGCTGCTCGTGGCGCTCCTCGCACCCCCATCTTTGAGGGGTGTTCTCCCTCTCCCCTCGCTCCCTCCTACGCTGCTGCTGCTGCTGTTGACTTCCTTGGTGCTGAGTCTGTTGGCGCTGCTTCTACTCCTGGTGGGAGGCGCCGCACCGGCAAGGGCAAGGGGGGCAAAAGTGGTGGTGGTGGCGCTGGTGGGGGAGGAGGTGGGGGAGGTGGGGGGGGAGGCGGTGCTGGAGGGAGCGGTGGCGGGAGCGCTGGTGGGAGTGGGGTCGGTGGTGGAGACGGGGGCGGCGGAGGGAGCAGTGGCAGTAGTGGCGGCGGCGGCGGTGGCGGCGGTGGCGGTGGTGGCGGTGGTGGCGGTGGTGGCGGTGGCGGTCGGAGCGGTGGTAGTGGTGGCGGCGGAGGTCGGAGTGGAGGCACTGGCTCTGGCCAGAGCTCCCAGCAGCAGCAGCGTCCCCAGACGACCCAGCAGCTTCGTGAGTGGCTTGCTCAGCGTGGGACGTCGGGGGCCAGTGCCCGCTGTTCTTATGTCATTCGCACAGGTGACCGCAAGGGACAGACGTGTGGGAGGTTCCACACCCCGTACCGCTGCTTCTCCCGCCTTGACGACGCTTGGCGTGAGGAGATGGGTGCGGATGTTGAGCGCCCCCGCTGGGCTGAGCTCATGAGGGCTGGTGTTGATGTCTTTGCTCTTGACTATGATGCTATTATTGCTGCCATGTATGCATTGACTGTTAGTGCCGAGGGAGACTGTTACTTGTGTGTGCCGCCTGACCCAGGTATAGAGCCCGCTGCCCTGGGTACTAGTGAGTCTGCTCTCTCTGGTATAGTGCCCCCTTCTCTTGATTGGTGTGTTGACCACACCACCATCAC